AAATCTTGATTTGCTTGGATTAAATTGGTTTGTTTTAATGTTTGTATTTAGCAACAATTATTGAACCAACTCCTTTGGGAAACGATACTCTCTTATCACTATATTACTTGGTAACTATGTGCACTTGCATGATTTTTTTAAATTGAGAGAATCTTAAAATAAATTTGTTGGTAATTTAGCAAGCAACATTTCCAACTTTGAAGAGAATAACTTTTCCCTTTCAAGAAATGAGAATATTCTCAAACAATAGTCACTGAATTTAGAATAGATTATAACATAAGAAGTACATGTGTTTGGTTGTTTCAAGCTAAATTCCTTGATTTCCAACTTTGAAGAGAATAAGTCTTTTCCCCTTAAAGATTTTTGCTATTAATTTACCCAAGAACAAAAAAAAAAGAGGACAAAATTAGCAAGAAATTATTTATATGCCGATGTATGTCTTCAATGTTTTTCTTAGGTTGAGATGTAGTTAAGTAACTTATGACAACATAAGATCTCTGTAACATGGACACCATAAGATCTCTATGACATTCTACCCACTCAATTATTGAAAGCTCTTTACTTATAAAGGAGAGAGATCTATTGAGGATAGGGATCTTTACACTTATCTGGATCTATCTTGACCATATATCTCTTATGGGATCCCATATCAGTGAAGATCTAGCTCTGTTTAATACCACTTGTCACGGACTTATGTTTTTAACCCAAAAAACATGCCTATCGAGTGAAAGAAGGGTCATATTTATGTACCCAAGACCTACTATATCTCTCACTGATGTAAGATCAGTGACAGGAAGTACATTTTCATTTAATACTTTAAAATCATCGCATTAATTGTCAATTAATGTAATAATATTTGTATAAATAGTTTCTTAAGAGCCTTAGTGTATTTATGTAATTATATTTATTAGCAAAGTCTTAGCTCAAGATGAATATTTAACTGTTAGAGTTTAAAATTTTCATTAAAAGAATTTTAAGTTCATGTCTCAAGAACGGTGTGAAATTCATGAAACAAGAGAGAATTATTTATAGAAAAATATTCTTAATATTAATATAATTGTTTCCAACTTGACCTAAAAGTGAGAGATATAAACGGGCAAGGTACTCCCTATTTTTGAGATACTCAATCTAAAACCGTTTAGCTGTCAGAATATCCAAACTCTATCAAAACCCACATAAAATTACAAAACATTTTTCAAAACCAAATCCTAATAGTAAAGAAGTATCCATTAATTATTCGAATCCATTAAATACCTATTTAAGTTGGCAAAATTGACAAACTTAGAGTGTTTCTCATTCTTTTGTGAGTTCAATCAATACTAATAATGAAATTTTACATATTTAAGTTTGCACCGTTATTCAACTAATATAAATTAATATTACATTTACTAGTTTGAAAAACGATAGGTTGGATGAGATAGTAAAACTTAAGTTAAGGAAGATAAAAGGTTCAATCTCACAAAATTTAAAATTTTTGTAACATTATATATAATTGGGTTTGAGTTTAGGGTATCATAAAGGTGATACCTGAAACTGTGTCAAGTTTTAAAAGCCTTATCCTAATCCAATGAATAACCGAATATAAAGTATCCTAATCTTATATTATCAGATTGGATACCTGCAGGTACCCATATAACAATAACTCATTTACATTCCTATGGGTCATATATCCCAGCATGGCTGTGTTGCGCATTGTACCTAAAATAACAAGAAAATAATCGGATTTGCACTAGAAAAATCAGCTCCCATGTGCACTACATACCCAGAAGCTAATCAGCATCCGGTGGAAACCATTAGGAATCAGCCCTCGGGGGTTACAAAGAAAGCCAGGCAGAGCTGTGCAATCGTCCAATAAAAACACAACATCCATTACCCAAGCTTAATAATCCAAGCTTGACGGTTGTTATCTTCTTTAAGAAGAATGAGAATCAAGGTTCAAATTGTCACACCTTTCTGTGCTTCCTCATATCATATAGGTTAAAAAGAAACTATTAAACGTGAAGATGCTTTTCCAAACGTGACTTGAATTCCATAATCCTAACAAATAGTCATTGCTTGCTTCGCCCTATCCCATCGACGTTTAACAAAAGCGGTTGGGCATGCTTGCTTGAATCTATCCCATTGACCTCCATGCAAGAAAACAGGCAGCCTTTGCTTTCTTTTGCCACCTAATTAAAATTAGTGGCAGACAACTTTTCGTTTATCTTTTTGTTATCTATAGATATATATTCAAGCTAATGATTAATGTAAACTCTAGCTTGCAAAGCCGATTCTGTTTTGAAATTTCGCAGGCACTCAATTCTCCATTTCGGCGCATCACATGGAGGGAAAACGCGCTGCAGCTTCTTTACAGTCATTTCATAACTTGAGGTAAGCATATGGCATAGTAGCAATTATTCCTTAATTAAGGTTTAACTCGAAGTAAGTATGTACGAGGTTGAATTAGTTTCTTAATTATAACTTAAGGTTCATCACAGTCTTGTCATGAGCTCATTATCCGGAAGAAATGAATTGAATTTGATGGAAAGCGGACGAAGATGGAACATGAGAAATCTCTTATCCAGGCTCTTTTTCCCCTCAGCCGACTAAGGTAACTTGGTCATCTCTCTTTCCTATCAGATTATGCTCATAATTATTTGGAATCCTAACCATTGATGTCCTTAACTTTGCTTTAACATGAAATGAATATGGATTTTGCGTTAACTATATGGATATATGCATGGATTATTGTAGATGTCGACTTCGGACATGGTGGAGCTAGCCACCACATATGTAAAACATTAGCAAAGACAGCTGGAGGAACTCAAGCAAAGGAAGATGCAATTGGAAGGGGAGAGTGAAGCACTTAGTAAATTGACAAGCGAAACGATATCCCCCAGTTCTAAATATAATAGATTCTAATCCGAATATGAGGTTGGACATGAAGTTAATTTCAGGGTTGGACATGAAGTTTACACTATCTGACATTATCAGTCTCATTGAGGAAGAAGGAGCTACAGTTATAGGTGTTACATATAATAATGCAGGGACTATGAACATCCTTTCAATTCATTGTAAGGTAAAAAAACCGAAGGTCTCAGCATACATTCCCCCCCCTTCCTCTCTATATCACATCCGATCCATGAATGTTACCCCATGGATAGTAATAAAATGAACTTTTGAATGCTATGTCGACTTCATTGCTCAGCTACATAGCTTAACCCTATGCAAATAGAGTGGTACAAGGTAAATTAGGGCTTCTTTAATTACAAAAGCAACTTTAATTTATGCTTCTTTAATTATAGTTTGGCTTAGAGAAAAAAAAAAAAGTCGCAGCAGCTGAATGTATTGCACATATTGGCCCCTTTTAGCCGCAGGTAGGATGAAAAAAATTGGAGTTTGTTGGACTTTGTTTCCTGCAATTATTTAATAAACCCAACCTAGTTAGCTAAAAATGAGAATGTTCTCAAACAACATACTAGATCATACAACGTATGTAACACACGTGTTTGGTTTTTGCAAGTAAAATCCCCTGTTTTCCAAATTTAAAGGGAATAATTCTTTTCCCCTTTAAATTTCCACTATTAATTTACATACGAAATAAAAAGGTAAAGTTAACAAGAGATTATTTATATGTGGGTGTATGTCTTCGCTGTTGTCCTCAAGTTGAGATGTAAAGTAATGTCACATAAAGTCTATAGTTGAGTAACATATAACGGTATACTTAAATCGATATTTATGCAATCATTGTTAGTAGAGATCAATGTAATTTACTTTTCCAAAAAATAAAAATGCAATGAAGACGAATTGGAGGATATGTAATTGAAAATGGTACACATGAGTTTTGAAGGATATATATAAAACATGGGTTTGTTTCATAAATGATATTATTAAATTATTAAAAAATTATATTTATAAGGTTATTTTAAAATTAAAGTTAAGTAAAACACAAAATATTTATTATATTATAATAATCTTTTTTAAAAAAAATTACAACAATCTTGAGTTGATAATAAAAAGTATGAAATATGCATTGACAATATTAATAATAATGACACTAATATTTTATATATATAAAAAATCAACAATAACAATTTTAGAATAAGTGTATACTATTGTGACATTTAATGCTTTTTTGTTTTTGTTTTTGTGGGTTCTACTTGAATAAGTGTATACAATGTTTACAACAATTCTAAGAATTGAAGTCCATGAAGTGAAAGGTTACTCAAAAAAACTAGATAATTTAAAATGCAAAAATTATTTCATGCTTAATTAATTCAACGTGAAAGCTACGTTGCGTATCAAACAAGTCTTTGACTTTCAAAAGTACTTGGTTTTCATATTTCAAAGAAATTAAATTTTATTTTAATTCAATTTTTAGTTGAATAAAAGGTATATTAAAGGCTTATTTGTAACAATATGAAGATGAGATCATTAATTTTTTTATGCAAAAAAATCATTAAATTGAAATAGTCGAATTACAACTTACTCCCTCCGTAGAAATGGGACGGAATAATAAGAGATAAAAAGAATAATATCTTTTAATAAAAACGAAAATATTAATCAAAATTATGGTTTAGAATTGGATTTGGACTAAACTTCGTAATATAATCGCATTCCTTCTGGAAATGCTTATTTCGTGTATTGCATGGGATAAAAATTCGAAGTATACAGTTCAGGGCAGTAGTCAATTAATTTACAGGAACATTGAGAAGAAAGTGATGCTGATCTGCCGTCGTAGAAAAATATAGGTCTTGAAGATGATGAAAGTATTCATTACATAATATTTAATTCCAATTAATATGTTATTTTATTACTACATATATATGTTATTCCAGTCTTTTTCTTCTGGCGATTCCCCTAAAAGGAAAACAAAAACACTGTCGGAGTGCTAAAATTTTCCCTATATAAACATAAATCATTCGCTTCATTTGGACGTAACTTATTCTTTGAGTTGAATCAGAGACCTAGAAGAAAATACAAAGTCTTTGCATAGCAAACCTCTTACCTCGGAATCAACAATGCAGCGATGTTTGATCGAAAGGGAACGGAGGTCGAACATGAATAATCTCTACTCGAAGCTCTTTTCTCTCCTTCCTCCTCAACCCACAAAGGTTGTTTACGCACTCCAACATCTCTCTGTTTATCCTTTTTGTTGTCTCTTTCTCTCTTGATTTTAACTTATCCTACATCTCAGAATTTATTTGTTTATTTGTTTGCTTGATTTTGCTTCAATTTGGAATACATGGATTGTCTTGTAGATGTCAATACTTGGCAACTTGGAGCTGGCTACCGTACATATAAAAGAATTGCAAAGACAAGTAGAGGAACTCAAGCGAAGGAAGATGCAACTAGAAGAGGAGAGTCAAGCATTGAATAGAGCAAAGAGTGAAACGATAACCCCAGTTCTAAATATAATAGAATCCCATTCTGTTATGCAAGTAAACTTGGTTATAGGGTCGGATATGAAATTTATATTGGGTGAAGTTATCAGCATCATTGAGGAGGAAGGAGCTGAAGTTGCGGGTGCTACATATAATCATGCAGGGAAAGTGAATAGGAACATTCTTTCGATTCACTGTGAGGTAAAATTTATTATACATCTGAGAAATTATTGACGTGATTTACTTATGTACTTAATTTTTAAGCGAATCTGATTTTCATTTTCATTGATCTTTCATACAGACTGCCTGTTCTAATATTGGCTTTAAGAGTTCCAAAGTGCTAGAAAGATTGAAGACTCTGATTAAAGAGTGAATATAATCCCTTGGACATTTTCTGCTAAGAAAATAGATTAAAATCTCTTGTTTTGTATGTGCCAATGTGGTTTACTTATAGGTTCAACTGTTACATCTG